TGGGAGTATATATTTCTTGTGGCACTTCAACTTTCTTGTGTAATGATCCTTTTTAAATTCTAATGATTAGCATTTGGTTGCTAACTTACTGCTATATGTAGTTATATAAACTTGAAAAATCCATGTTTAAGTTTTCAGTCTTCCTGAAGAGAGTAGATAGAAGAAAGATTAAGATGTGGGGACAAATGTAAACAATATTTGAAAAAATTTGCTTTTAATAAAAATGAGAGATGAGGTGGTAATTGGATGGAGAAATGTTTTTGTTTTTAAAGATAGAAAACATTACAACATGTTTATTTGCTGATGGGAATGATCTAAGATCAGAGGAGAAATTGATGATGTATGGGAGAGGGTATAAAAGTACACAAAAAGAGTGGGATCCAGAGGGTAATTAAGAAATTAGATAGTGTTTGAATAACTTTGTGAAAGGAAGGAAGGCAGAGCAACTGGGTACAGATTAGAGGCTGAGTGAGGTTAAGTGAGTGTGTTTAGTTGCATCAAGTTTCTTGATGTGTAAGATCATTAACTTGGGATAGGAGAGAAAGGGAGGGGATTGTCAGAGATTTGGAAGGAGAAAAAGGTACACAGTAGCCATTTAGGAGAGTGAAAGAATTTACATGTAAGTGAAATGTGGTATGATTACAGGGCAATGTTGAGGATCCAGTTGAAGTTTATGATCATAGATTTGAAAGAGACCAGTCAATACTATAGGCTTCCCAGGTGGTACTCGTGGTAAAGAATTTGCCTGCCAATGCAGGAGATGCAAGGGACGAGTTTGACCCCTTTGTCAGGAAGATTCCCTGGAGGAAGAAATGGCAACTCATTTCAGTATTCTTGCCTGGAAAATCCCATGGACAGAGGAGCCTGGAGTACAGTCCATGCAGTCACATAGAATTGAATACGACTGAGCACACAAGTCAATACTACATTTTAATATAGTTTGTAATTATAAAAAATTTATCATTACAGCTACTTTGGGATGCTTACTTTGTGCCAGATGTTAAGAGCTTTATATTAATCATTCTAACACTCTTAAATTTATTATTCCCATTTTACAGGTGAAGAAAAAAAAATAAGTTAAAAAACAGCATAATCCTGTCTATCACCTACCAGAATTTACATATTAATATTTGTTTCATATATATATATGTGTGTGTGTGTATGTGTAGCTGTGTGTCAGAGAAAGAGAATGGGTAGATAAAACAAATATAAACAGCATACTATATGAGTTGGAGTCTATTCTGTTTCCTTCACAGCAGGTGGATTCTTTACCCTCTGAGCCACTGGGGAAACTATTCTGTTTCCTTTCCCAAGGTCATTACCTTCTTTCGCAGAGACAATTACTCATAAGTTTAATGTTTGTAAACTGATAGTCTATATGTGATTTTTTAAAAATTTCTATTTTATCAAGTTTTTGTCAGCGTATGTTCCTGATTTCTTTCCATTTTAATAAAAAATTATTATTAAATTGCTGTATTTAAGTATATGAATATACCACAATATATTTATCCCGTCTTATCCATTTTCCTCTGATGAACATTCAGGGTGTTTTCAGTGTTTCACCATTACTAACAGTGCTGCAGTTAAAACTTTATTTTTGCACATATGTGCTTTAGAGATGAGTCCAGGTTATGAAATTGCTGGGAAGTAAGATACATACAGTTTCGGTTTCAATAGATGTTGCCCTTGGTCTTCAAGGGTGGTTATGTGTGAAGTATTTGAGAGTAGCTGTTTCTTCAATACCTGATGTAAAACTTTTAAAAAGTTTTCCAGCCATATGAGTTAAATTTTTTCTCATTTTTCTTTGATTTTTTTTTTTACAGTGCCTTCATTATGAGTGAGCTTGAGCCTCTTTTCATGTTTATTGGTCATTTGTATTTACTTCTGTAGATTGCCTGATCCATTTCTCTTTAGGTTAATAGGAATTCTTAACATCCTTTGGATGCTAATCTTCTATCTTTTGTAAATATTTTCTTGGTTTATTGTTATGTATGTTATTGTTATATATCAAAAACCAAAAGTTTTCTATTTTTGTTACGGGAAGTTAATACATTTTTATTTTTACTGAATTTTTTTTCTTTAGAACCTGTCTACATCAAAAAGATATTCTTTTCTTCTAAAAATTTAAAATTTTTTTTGTTTTGATTTTTTTAAGGTGTAATATGGATTTTATTTTGGTTTTCATGTTTAGTTGAAGAGTTTTTTTTCCCCCATGGGTAGACAGTTGTTTTAATACTGTATATTTATTTATCAATTTGAAATATTACTTTTATCTTAAATGTCCATGTTTGCATACGTATGTTTCTTAGACATTTTCTCTGTACCATCGGCCTCTTTATTCCAGAGCCATAATCTATCCATACTGATGGTTGTATCAGCTACTTTCTGGAAGTTTTACTTTCCATTAATTCCTTAATCATTAAATTAAATTATTTTTTCACATTCTGAGTAAAGATGCTTATTGTACTTGATTAGTGAACAGTATTGAGTTAAAAAATGCAAATCCTTTATCCATCTTTATAATTCTCTTCTCAACCACATTAATGTTCTTGTTATATGATAGACCCCCAGTTATTAAAGCTACTGAAGGAACTATTATAAGCTGAGATTTGTTTTGGAATGAAAAGAGATGAGTAACATTTTTGTTTAAACTAGACATTGTGAATTTTTTTGTAATTTTTATTTTATGAAATTGTTTCACGGTGCTCTATATGCTTCTTCCTCCTTTTCTATTTTTTTTCCCTGATTCTTTTCCTTCTCCCATTCTTTCTTTTTAATCATCTATTCTCTGAGAAGGGTGGTAGAAAACAAAGGTAAGCAGGCAAAAGAGAAAGGAACCCTTCATGTACTTATTTGTATTTTAGTCTTTCATTGGTCATATGCTTTCCACGTAGTTTTATCTTAATACATTAAGTATATGTGTGTGTTTATGTATGTACATGTACATATACATGTATATGTATATTTGAATTTGACTAGAATATCATTGTTTACTCGTTTGTCCTTCCTTATTTTTCTTTTAGGGCAAGCTTTACCTTCTCTGTGGCACTGTTTCTGACTCCTCCAGTCAGAATTAGATAGACCATCTCTCATATTATTTGTATGCCCTTTTATTTAAGATATTTGTTTTTGTTTTGTCACCATAAGGGCACAGATTGTATTAAAACCAACTTTGTATCACTGATGCCTGGCACATAAGAGCTGGTAGATTTAGAGTGGATTATTTTCCTAGAGGAGGGCAATGTGTAACATATGGTCAGTAAAATAGAATACTTATAACAAAATCTTGTATTTCTCAGGGTATTGATACTGTGGGGATATATTTTAGAAGCAAGGTAATGATGTGGTATCTTGAGACCACATTTTAAGAAAGAGTTGGAAAGTCTGCCATTTAGTTAATTCCGTGTTTAAAGTAGGGAAAACTCAGTTTAGACCTCAGTGGTTGGTATTGGCCTTTTCTCCCATGGGGCTAATTCAGATGGTTACAACTCTGAAAGAGGGAGGAAATGAGCCTTCAAGACTCTCTGAATCTTTCTTTCCTAAGTCACATCCCTTGACCCTTGCTGCTGCTGCCGAGTCGCTTCAGTTGTGTCTGACTCTGTGTGACCCCATGGACAGCAGCCCACCCAGCTCCTCTGTCCACGGGATTCTCTAGGCAAGAATACTGGAGTGGGTTGTCATTTCCTTCTCCACTTGACCCTTGAGCACTCATTAAATATAATTTTCATCTTTGACTTGAGTTGATGACAGGTGGTATCCTTGGCTTTTTGTGGGAAAGGTGTCTCTATAAGGTCCCAAAGGACTGAGTCATATAACAAGTATGTATGGAGTTCACATTATGTTCACCTAGGACAGTCATGGAAGGTAGTATGAGACCGTATCTGTTAGGATGGGAGAGGGTGAAACAGGGTAAAAAAAAGTTATCCCCTTTGTCCTCTGCCATATTTTTTAAATTGTATTATTACTTATTAACTTTTGCAAGAATCTGGTTGCTTAAGGAAGCTTCTGGCCCTTCTCTCCCACCGTAGCAGTGTCTTTAAGAACTTCCACCTAATTATTCAGATAGAGGAAGACAAATACTGCAGGACCTTACTTGTACGTGGGCATCTGAAAATGTGGAACATATAGAAAGAGTGGACCAATGGCTACCAGGGGTTGGGGATGGGGAAATGGGCAGATGCTGGTCATGTTCTCTACTATATTTTTGAAGATTGGCAAAAGCACCCTTAATCAAAGTCTACCATCACCTAACAGATGAGATAGACTACCTATATTTTTTCAAGAATGATGAGTTCCACAAGAATCCATGCATTATTACCATTTTGTCTTCATAAATGACAAAGGAGGCTGACTGTAGAAGCACTTGAGTTAGAGTCTATGCCTAAATTTGTGTCCGCCCAGATATCCTTAATCTGAGCATTGTGAACCTTCCATTCATCTGTTGAGTCAGAGATTTTTCCCTTTAGTTTTGGAGGGACGCTAAATTCTAAAATATTGAAGTTACTGAAGATTTGATTACTTGATGACCTCATTGATACTATTTCTGCTCTGGTGACCCATTTCTTTTATCATTAGTTCTGCTAAATTTCTATGTTTACAGCATATTCTGTCTTTTCTTTGTTTACTAGTAGCTAGCTCCTCGAAGCCTTTTTTTGATTTATTGATGTATTCACTTCCTTCCACTATTATTAAAATTAAAGTTAAATCTATCTATAAATATATATATATATATATATATAACTAAATTCTGTTCATATATTCTGATGTACATGTAGTAACGGGAACTTTCAAACTCCAGGGTATTATCATATTTGTGTTAACTAAAAAGCAAAATTATTGCCTTAAGTAAAGTGTGTAGTTTTCCTAAAATTGTTTACTATCGTCTACCAAGAATATGTGTCAAAGTCTTTTAGAGAGAAAAATTCCATGTTCAGTGTATTAAATTTAAGGAAACTTGATTTTTATCTTTAATGAAGATATTTTAAAAACATGTTTTCTAGGCCAGCCATATCCTGATCCAGTTCTTCTTCCACAAAGGCAAGATAGATTTTATTCTAATTCTGGTAGACTTTCTGGACCAGCAGAACTCAGAAGTTTTAATATGCCTTCATTGGATAAAACAGGTAAGAAATATTCTGGGTATATATGTGTTTTTTAGTAATGATGGCATATTAAAGAACTGGAAGCTGTATAAAGGACTAATATAATTGTGATTTCTGCTTAGCTCTTAAGGTCACAATTTCTTTCCTGGGAACTTCCTGGTTTTATGTTTCTTGCTATTTTGTACACATCCATGGCATCTGCACATGTGTCGGTGGTTGGTTTGGGCACTATTGCAATGACTTTATTCTGTGTACCTATCATGGTAAATTTTACTGTGTTCCATGATTAATTTTCTAGTTTTTCCAGTCCACTTACATAAATCCTGTGTAGTAATCAGAGAAATTAGGCTGTGTGAATGATATGTGAAAATCAGAGAAATAATTTGAGTGCATGTTCTGTTGATGGGTTAATCAGTTACCTTGTTTAAATTTTTCATGCTTAGGTAGATTTAACATTTACTGAGCAACCAACAATTTGTCTTGGGCTCATTTTCTTAAACCACCTCATAGCAACCCATTGAAATTGGGAATTAACATACACCCAATGTATTTTAGAAGTACATAACAAAAGATTAAAAGTAGAAAATGAAAATTTATGGGTAAAAAATTTCCTCAGAAAAGGGTATATATTTTAGGAGAGGGAAATTATCCAGTTGGAATATGTATTATTCTGGAAAATCATTCTTCTTTGAATATTAAGCAAAGAAGGAGACCTGTGGCCTGGTTTTCTGTTATTATAATTATTTCTGTTTGGTGTTTGAAATTGTTTTCCCCCATTAATTCAAGCTTAATGTGAATGAAAGTATGTGTGATTAAACATCTATTTCTAAACTAATGCTATTTAAAATTTTTCACATTTTTGTTAATTTTTTTGCAATTGAACAATATTCAATTTAGCAAATAATTTTTATGTTCTTTCACTTTAGAAGGTACACTGCATGACATAGTAGACAATATAATTATAGTAAAGTATAGTTTTTAGCTCTAAGGAGCTAATAATTACTAATAGAGGAGAAAGACAGATATATATGCTTGACTGATACTAGCCAGGATGATAAGTCCCATTAGAGAATATGTTAGGTTCACAGAAAGTGAAAACGCCCATATAGTTGAAGGATCAGGGAAAACTCTTTGAAAGAGGTGGCATTTGAGCTGCTTTTGAGGAAATTTGAAAGGTAAAGGTCTGTGCCAGTAATAATTAAGAGTATATGTAAAAAAAAAGAAAAGTGCATGATTTATTGATGGATAATGTCTATAAAACTGACATATGAATCCCTTGATCTTATGAGGGTTAAATGAGTTAATGTGTGTGGAAGTATTTTGTAAGCTGAAAAATTTCTATATCTACGTAATGTTTTGTTATTGGTTTATCGAGGGTTAAATGAGTTAATGTGTGTGGAAGTATTTTGTAAGCTGAAAAATTTCTATATCTACGTAATGTTTTGTTATTGGTTTATCAGTGTATGGTGTTTACATGAAGGAAAGTGGTGTGAAATGGTGGAAATATATTAAGTAACACTAGTGCTCAGTAAACATTTGTTGAATGAAATGAATGACCTCATTTCATCTTTACAGTAAACCTGTAGAGTGGATACTATTACCCTTATTTTGCAGATGAAGAAATCAAGGCTCAAAAAAGGTGCTAAAGAATTTAGGTAGGAAGTGTTAGAGCTAGGATTTGATACCCTGTCTGACTCCAGAGCCATGGTCTTGATCCTTAGGCTTTACTGAAATGAGAGGATAGTGGATCAGTTTAGTGCTTCAGCCCTGCCATTGATGCACTAAGTATCTATGGACTGTTTACCGTTTGACAGGCACTGTGGTAGCTGCTATGTTTCAGTGGTGAATAGGAGGTCAGCATTCCTTATGCCTGTGGTCTGCAGGCAATTGCACTATATAGTGACAAAAGTAACAAGTGCAAAATGTTATGGGAGCTTATGGGCCACAAGCCACTAACCTAGATGAGAGGTGGTGATGTTTTGAACGTGGGGTTGCCTAGAGAGTCTTTTTGGAGAAAATGATGTATAAGCTGAGAATTAAAGGAGGAATTATCTGGGCCAGAATGATGCTTGATAATGTTCTGGGAGGAGAGAATAGCATATTTAAAGACACAGGTAGGAATGCCTTGTAAATGTGGCTGCAACATGGAGTGGAAGTCAGAATATTGAAACAAGTAGTGTAGAAGTAAGCAGTGCATAGTTTTCAAGGCCTTGCAAACCTGTTCAGAAATTTTGGACCTACTTGTGGGAAAATGGGAACATATTAAAGGATTTTAAATGGAGAATAATCAGATCAGACCTGCATTTTGGAGAAATTATTCTGGTTGTGTTATGGGGAATAGATTAGAGGGAGTGGGTGAGACTGGAGAGAGGGTAACTTTTTAGAAGATTGGGACAGAAATCTACATGGATGATGGTGGTGACTTAGCTGAGCAGACAGAAAGATGTGAAGAGACACAGAGATAATATAATTGGGAGGACTTCAGATTGAGTGGAATGAGGGAGGAGGGAGAGTCTTGGCTGATGCTCGGGTTCTTGGCTAAGGCATGTGGGCCATTCATTGTTCAGAGACAAGGAGCAAGAAGCAGTATCATGTTTGACGGGAAGTATTCTCAGTTAACTTGGAACTTTAATTAGCTGCTCCTATGATACAACTGCAAGGCTCTTCAAGTAGGCACTTGAAGCTCGGCAGTCCTGGGGAAATATATAGATCTGACTTAAGCGTCTGGAAGTACAGTAGTAATGTGTATCAGATGAGAGCTGTAGAATGATGACATTTCTCAAGGAGAGCCTCAGAGGGCGGAGCTCTGAGGAGACCACCCCTGAGGAGACTGAGGAGCAGCAGCTAGGACGGAGAGAGAAGGTGCCCTCCCGGAAGGTGAAGGCGGGGAGCGAGAGAGGGAGGGAGTGGTCAACCACGTGAGAAATCACAAAAAGTAAGAACTGAAAGTTCTGTTTTAATTCAGAGGGAATAAAAGCCATTTTATCTTGGGGGATATAATTTCAGGGGAACAGTGTATGCTGCACATAGATTGAGTACAATTGAGAGACAAAATGGGAGGAATTCTGAATAATATATATAGAAAAAATTTTTTTTGAAGAAGAAGAACTTTTGACTGTGAAGGGGAACGATAGCTGTAAGGGGGTTCTCTTTTTCTTTATAATTTTAAAATAGTAGTTGGGAGAGACCTGCCGATAGGATGGGTCTAGCAGAAAGGGTGGAGGGAGGAAGCAGAATGGAAGATCCCAGCGGAAGCTCAAGGCAGGGGACTCTGAGTACAGAATCAGGCTCTTAGATTGTCTAGAAGAATCCTAGGCAGGTGAAAGATGGCCGATAGGATAAAGACACTAGTGACTGGCTGTTAGCAATGGAGTCTCTGAGATCAGCTAATTAGGGAGGGAAATGAAGAAAGGAGGAAACTGAGAGATCAGAGGACTGGAAGCTTCAGTGATACCCAAGGACAAGTATAGTGAGAGTAATGAAATGAAAAGGCTGGGAGGGGACAGGCAGTTGTGGTCAGAGAGAGGGTTGTTTAAATTTATGTTCTCAGAGCCTGTGCAGTTCTTGATGATAAAGCCCAGACATATTTATTTAGAAACAGCGGCTAATTCAGTTGCTAGTCTATGTCATGTGATGGAGGAATAAGGAAAGAAAGATGAGAGAGAAGGGAGGAAGAAAGGAAAGGAAAGGAAGGCAGGAGGAAAGGAGGTGGGGAGAGGGAGAGGAATGCTGTCTGCTGGAAGCTTCCTTAATGATGCAGCTTGTAGGACTGTCTAGGCACGTGGTGGGGAAACCACAAACATACGCCTTGACAGAACTCTGAGTCTGCCGAAAGCTCCACAGACCCCGAGCTGTCCTTGTGGCCCTAATACAGGATGCTGGTGTCAAGCTGGCTTATGTGCCGACAAGGGGAGTAGGGATATCAATGTCCTTTGTGATGTGAAGCTGTAAGAATGGTGTGATAAACCATGTATTTTTCATAGTTTAACTTTTATTTTTAGATGGGCCAGTATCTTCAGAAATGGAATCCAGTAGAAATGAAAGCAAAGATGATCTTGGTGTAAGTATTCAAAGTGGAATTGTATCTATGTATTCAGGATCTTTCTAATCTTTTGGTTTACTAGAATAGTAATTTAGCCAGCATCTGGTTTTTTGATTAAAAGCTGCTGCTTTCTTTTTGACAAATGTACTTCATGCTTTGCATTATAGCTATTTCCTTTTTGGATTGTACCCCATGGTGATAAAGTACAACGTACAGACTCAAGGCTTGATTTAGTTTGTATAGTTAAACAAGAACTTGAATTCCCTCTTGGACTTTTATTTTAAATCCACGACTGTTTTAAAGTATGTTTTTTGTTTACTGTGCTTACAATCTTGGTTTTTGGTCACCTGGAAAATATTAACATAAGCATTTTTTTTTAGTATATGCTTGATAAAAGAATGTATATTTTGGTACTCTTGGGCTATTCTTATGTTTTATTTTTAGTTGGACAATTACTTTGTTGGTTAACACTGTTTTCTGTTGAGTTAATAAAATATTCATGATAGCTAAAATCCATCTGATGTAGAAAACGGAATCTTTCTCTGGAGGCTTTTACGGTATGGTTCCTAGGTGCCTAGATGCCTTCTTCTAAGCCTAAGCTTATAAGGAAAGCTATTGCAAACTTTGCTATTGCAGTGACTGCTGTATGTCAATTTGTTGTAGAATTTAAATGTTCCCGATTCATCTCTTCCCATTGAAAATGAAGCAACTGGACCTGGTTTTGTTCCTCCACCTTGTCCTCCAGTCAGAGTTCCATTGTTTCCGATGGATACAAGGGGTCCTTTCATAAGAAGAGGGCCTCCTTTTCCTCCACCTCCTCCAGGAACCATGTATGGAGTTCCCCGAGATTATTTTCCACCAAGGGATTTCCCTGGCCCACCACCTCCGCCATTTGCAAGTATGCTTCATAAAGCCTTATATATGTCTTATGGAGTAGATCAGAAACATTAATTTTACTATTTATGTAGTAATACAATGGAGGAAAATTTTTCTCATCTTCTGTAAGTATACCATTATTTTTCCAAATTGGGAAGATTGCCAGCCATCAGTAATGAGGTCTCATTAGTAATGAGGCTTCAACTTGATTCATCTTAATAGATGTAGAATTACTTCTGTGTTTCAGTAATCAAGAAAATCATTGGCTTTTTGCAACAGTCTTATGTTAAAACTAAAACTATTTGTATCTTATTAGATAGAAATTGGGTACTATGTCAATTAGTAAAAATAATTACAGTTTATATTTTTGCATTAAAATGACTAAAGTATTTTAGAAAATCTTTTAAAATCCTTTTTCATAAGTAGCTCCCATGTAATCCTACTTATTTAAAACCTAGAATGTGTTTATCATCATGTTTGGACTAATTGTTGAATTTATTAAAATTCCTCATAGCCTCACATTTGAGAAAAGAAATGATTATTGCTTTTATGACTATCTGTTTCCATTTAGAACTACAGGTTTCAGTAGGATAAATACATGGTTAACAAACACTAGGAAAAAGCCTATCATTTGCCTGATAGAGTCATTCCTTCTCTCATTCCTCCTCTTTTTAAAGTTTAGAGTGAACTAAAATGAATTTTATTTGAAGAATTTCAAGACAGTTTTTGATATAACTGTAAATATTTTAGGATACTGTCAAATTAGATTTGGGAATTACTGATCTTAATTTTAAATCTGGTGAAAATTACATTACATGAAAGCTTTTTTGAGTTACTCTATTTTGAAATAATTCTTCTCCTTTTTAAAAAGTGTTAAGATGTTAGATTTTCTAGGACAAAAACCTGCAGCTAAAATTAGTGATATTCCCTTTAATCACGTGTAGTTGAAGAGCATATGTTTTTCTCAGTGTTTTAAGAATTCATTTGTTAAATCAGGTAATTATTCTGGTGTCATCTTTTGAAAATAAAGATAGGTACTAGATGTTATAAGCTAATGATTTATCGGGGCCACAGTGCAGGTACTGAAAGTTAAAACCTGTCTTTTACCAATCTCTTTGAACAGTGAGAAATGTCTACCCACCAAGAGGTTTTCCTCATTATCTTCCCCCGAGAGCTGGATTTTTCCCCCCACCCCCACATCCTGAAAGTAGAAGTGAATTTCCATCAGGGCTTGATTCCACCTTCAAATGAGCCTACTACTGAGCATCCAGAGCCACCGCAAGAAACTTGACCATATTGTTGGTCTCTCTTCAAAAGTGATTTTGACTTCTCTCTCATTTTCAGTTTAAGTAACGGCTGTTACTTAAGTGAGTATACTTTTGCTCAAATTGAAGCTTAATGGAATTATAATTCTCAGGATAGTATTTTGTAAATAAAGATGATTTAAATATGAATCTTATGAGTAAATTATTTCCATTTTATTTTGTTCTAGATGGTATAATTATTTTAATTTAATTCATCCACTATAACATAAACAATAAAGAGAGTTTTATATATGTAATCTTGCAGTTGGGGATATTTTAAACTCCAAAGGCTGTGTGTCTTTATGCCAAGAACTGTGTTTACTATGGTTGCAGACAAATGTGAAAGTAACTTTATGCCAAATTAAATAAATTTTGATTGATTTAAAGACTTGATTGGCATTGATAATAATAAAATCAGCTAGTTTTTTCATAAATATGGCTCCATTAGTTAGTTTTTTTTTACTTCTACCAATGGCTTTGAGGCTAAAAATAATATTTTGGATCTTTCGCATTCAGTTATCTTAACCAAAACTGTGCCCTTTTCTTATAAATAGACATGAATGACCCAGTGCAAAGAGTTAATACACTTAAATATCATATTTTAAAACCAGGATATTGTCTAATGGCAAATTTCAGAATTTGGATATTCTTAGTTAATTCACTGATTTCCTGTGCAGCTTTATTTTTTTTCTTGTTTACTCTTCATTTGTAAGATATTTACTGTTTTTAGTGGGGAAATGTTGAGATTTACTCTACGATAGCTGTATTGAGGCAGTGTATCATTTTGAGCTTTGAACTCAGTATCTTTAGAATGTCTCTGTAACTCGGGTTTGTATTCTGTTGTTAGTTATCTTGCACATTAATATGATTATGAAAGGAAAGGCAATTAAGTATAGCTAATATTACACTACTTATATTGAAAAGTTGATTGGTTTCAGTTGTTTACTTGGATTTTTTCCTTCAGTGCCAAGAGACTGAAGATTAAATATTCTTGAACAAAGCAGTGATGCATTATAATTGGAACACTTCATACCAGCATCCCCCCAGATGTTCTTTGAAACGCTGTTCTTGTGAAGCATTTACACTCTGTCTCCATTCTTACCCCTGCCATAGAAAAAAAGGCTAAAAAGAAAGGCTCCATGTTAAATGCTTGGATAAAATAATAAGTAGAATGAGGATCAAAAAGCATCATTATATTCAGTATTAAAAGGCAGCTTTCGGTAGGAAATAAGGACTATTTTTTTTTTTTAAGATGGAAAGGGAAAGAAGAGAAATGTAAAAGGAGTAATGTGGAATGTTCTAATCAAGTAAATAAAATCTTTTTGCCCTGGGGTAGGGAAGACTTGTCTTGGCTTAAGACAGGAGAGAGGAGAAAGCAAATCAAACATAACAGAAGGATTGGTAATAAACCAAGGAGGCAGATGAGAGCATGGTGGAAGGCAGGAGACTTGATGTGGGCTGAGTGGTCTAAAATACTTTGGGATTCCAGAATAAAGAAACATAATTAATTTAAAAATACATTTTATTAAGGTAATATAAACAACTGGGAATAAATCAAATAATAGAATTTAACATCAATTTCAAGTTTTCCCCATTTATTCCTTATGCCCAGTTACGCATCCTAGACATTTTCTCTTTTAACTTTTTTTTTTCTTTTTAATTCTGGTGATTTTAGAATTTTAGAAGATATACATATAATCTATGAACTTACATTTATTAATTTGTATGTGTATTTATTCCTTGAGATGAAAAATTGGGACTTAATGCACTTGTACTATTCTCATCCCTGTTTTTCTTTCTTCTTCATGTTTGATATTTATCCCAGTTAAAGTTTTCTATTGTTGCTTTTGCAATTTTTAATGTATTTAAACCTCTATTAGTATATCTCTTTTTTAAATTATTTATTTTTGGCCATGCTAGATCTTTGTTGTTATGTGGGCTTTTCTCTATATATTTTAGGAATATATCCCTAAAGAATTATCCTTTCTCCCCTGTCCCAAATACCCTGACCCAAATAGGGTTGCTATGAGAACTACATAAAATACGTTATTGTGAAGTAGTTAAAAATATGCTTGGTACACAGTAAATATTCACTTTCTATCAGTCATGATATTTCTTAGCTAATAACTGTGTTTTCTTAGAAAATTTCACTTAAGTATTTCTTGATTAAAATCCATTCTTTTAAACACAAATATTTATTTTAACCATCTTGTGTGAAAAGATTTCCAAGATATTATTAAGTATTCTATTAACTCACTACAGAGATATTTTGAATATATTTTTATATTGTTTCAGAGTCATTGCATTTATCATTACAGTGTATTTAAAGCTTGTTATGGGGTTGTTTAGGTCTATTTCAAGTTCCTTCACAATGACTTAAGATTAGTTATATTCTTTTTTGAGGATTGTAAACTTCTGCCTTCCACACTCATTTATTCTTTCCACTTCTAATTTACTGGAGACCAAGAAACAAACAGACTTACTGGAATTATGCTGAACATAAGAACAAATGAGCTGGAAGGAAACAAGTGGCTCTACTGAATTTGATGCCTTTTAGTACAGGGAATAATCTCCCACAAACCTTTTATATTTACTTGTGGATTCTTGGCCATACTCCAAATAGCTGAGGTTGTTTTCTGTCACAATTATGTAAAGAATACTCCTTTACCTAGAGAGCAAATTTAACATTTGCCTTAATTTTTTTCAAGAAAAAAAAAATGTTCCAGATACAGTTGTCCTCATGCTATAGAGGTAAGTACTCTTGTGAAAAGAGAGTGAATGTTTTTTTGTTTTTCAAGTTAAATGTGTTTATGTATAGTATATAGGTTTATTTTTCCTGCCTGTCAAAAATGTACATCAATAATGCCTTTATATATATATATACATACATACACACACACACACACACACACACACACACATATATCGTTTAGAAGTTGCCTTTTTTTTTTTACCTCAGCATTATTTTGAGATCCATCATGTTAATAAATGTAGGTCAGGTTAGTTCATTCTGACCACTGTGTGGTATTCCACTGTGTGGCTTTGCCAGAGTAACTCTGTTCTGTTATTAATGGTCACTAAGTTGCTGCTGATTTTTCATTGTAAATAATGTGGAAATAAGCCTGTTACTATTTCTCACCACAGAAGCTATAGTTTTCACACTGGGGTACACCCCCTTGAGGGGCTTCCCTGGTGGTAGAGAATCTGCCTGCCAACGCAGGAGACACCGGTTTAATCCCTGGGTCAGGAAGACGCTTTGAAGGAATGACAGTCCACTCCGTCATTCTTGCCTCGGAAATCCCACGGGGAGAGGGAGGGGCCTGGCGGTCTACAATCCACAGGGTGACAAGAGTCAGACACGACGTAGTGACTAAACACCACCACCAGCCCCCCAGAGTATGGGAAAAAATTTCCAAATGTTATGCGGGTATGCTTCTAGGAAAATTCACAGAATTCACCTTCCATCTGTATAATGCTTAACTGCTATTCTGCCTAGAAAGAACTTGTGAACAAGTTCAGGTTCTCCTTTCCTTTTCTTCATTTTGCAGGTAACCCTTCTCCCATGTATAAAATGAGCACATACCTTTAACCTTCTAGTCTTATGATGATGAATCAAACTAAGGTGTGTAAACCTTTGGAGCCAAAGGCAGTTTGAGATATTGGTGTCAGTGATGAGAAAGTGAATAATTAATGATTGTGTTCAACTGTTGACCTATATAAAATAACTTCTGATAATAGGACAGTGCTTTGTTTGGTCCTGAAAACTCAAAAGTTGAAGAATGAGTGACATTGCTGTAACAAAATTCTCATCTACTTATATATGTGAAACAAATTTTTTTACCATTTGTGTTTATAAAAATGAAAATAAAATTGAATCGATGATGGACCTGACTCATTTTCAGGAATAAGTAATAATATTTGTATTTTTGATCAATTATATTTAATAGGTATAAAATCTAGGACAAAAAATGTAATGGCTTTTAAGAAAATCACATTTTAAACTTTTGTTGCAGAAAATATGTAAGTAATCAATGAAAAACTAACAGAAGTATTAGATTTGCATAAAAAGCTGTGGCATAGTTGAAAAGGATATATGTAGCAGTCTGGATCGAATCAGAAGACAAAGCACACAGTAGTTTGAGCAGGGACAGTTTAATATAAAGAATTGTTACTATGATAATAATTGTAAAATGTGAGGAAACTGTATGTGGCCCCTTAAAGCTGAGGTGGGCACTCATGGTAGGACAGACTCAGAAGGGCTTCAGTCCTCTTTGGTGAAGGTATGTTTCAGCCCCCAGGACAGCAGAGAGATCACTGGTTCCACAAGGCCTGAGCTAGTCTGGAGACGCTCAGCAAGCAATAGGCTGAGCAGGGTGCAGGTGGGGAGGAGGCCAACAGCAACTACTGGTCCTGGGTGTGCAGTGGGCGTGTGGACACCAGGGATGGAGAGGCCTGCAGAGCGTGTGTGGGCCACGTGACATGCAGGGCAGGGAACGGGAGTCCAGTGCGGGCAGGAAGCACATGAGCTTCACAGCCTGTGAGAGTGGTCAGGCGGAGGCTGCAAGGTAGCAGAGGGACCATGGCTGGGGGAGGCTACACCGGAAGTCTTACGGCCAGGCTGCCTACCCTGGAACCTACATGATAAACTTTGCCTTCTACCGTGTCCCTCATGGCCCTTACTGAACAACACTGTTCTGACTTTAAAGGTGTGTTACTCAAAGGAGTTCCATTATTGGAGAGCATACATTGAAGGGTGCACTCAGAACTGAGGCAACAAATTAATAACTTCTATGATATATAGGTTTAAGGGGGAAAATGATGTAAAATTTCCGAATGATCAAGACCTTATTGCATTTTTAAAATAGATGAATGGTGGTAGGTATGGAATCACCACAGTATTGTATTTACGAGTGGTGTGTACTTGTAATTGTACCCAGGTACCCACTTCTCCCTTGCCAGATACAGTGTTCTGCTGGCCACACACGGACAATGGGGACCTATGAAGCTGGGAAAGAAGTATGCTCCAGGTGTTTGAAGAGCAGGTAGGAAGTCCAGGTATGAAATTCCAGATGTAGCTGGTGAGTGTGAGGAGGTGGGTGTTGGGGGCTGGAAGTGGGAGCGGGGCTTCCTGCAGGTCTTGAATTGCTTTCATATAAATCAGGTATTTCTGATTTGTTGGTAGCTGTGTGTTGGTAGCTGATGTGTGCTCTCAACAGTGGCTCAACTAGCAGCAGAGTTATGTATGTACAAATTAGAGCTTCATCATTATTTCTAAATACTTGTAGTGAAAAAAATCACTTGAATTTGAAAATTAATTTACATTATGTAAGAAAGCTCAACATTACACTTACTATTACATTTAGAGCTGTTAGATTTCATAAGGATAATTTCAACTGCATACATGTTTGATGTTGTGGACGGAAAGGTTTAAAAATTATCATCCATTTGTGGGGTGTTTCTTTTGGGAACATTAACATTTTTAATAGGTTATAAGTTAAAATATTTGAAAAGATTTTATTTGAAAGTTTTATACAAAAAAAGACTTCCGCCAACCTTCTGCATTTTTCTAATTATGTAATAAAAACTGATTTTTTTTTTTTTTTTTGGCTTCAATTCCTTGTTTATACTGGTGTGCTGCATAATATTTTCTATGTGTCAGCATATGAAAAAGCTTAGGAAGCTTTGATACAGACAATGTGGTGTGACTGTTGGGTATTATTTACACCTACTGTATGTTACTCCTCTAGTGCGATTTAATGTTACTAGCTTCATAACAACCCAGTCTGGTTCATGCTATTGGATAAGCCACAAGCAAGTTAGGTGCTGAATCTATGTGTTCAATCATAAGCACACTCTCTTTCCCAAGCCCCACCCTCCCAACTCCCTAACTTCTCTATTCCCAGGGTGGTGGAAGAAATAGGGAAGTAATTTTAGATATACAAATTTCATCTAGCTTAGTGAGTTGTGTTTTGAAAATAAATATTTGTCTATAAGCTGTCAGACTAACATCAGCTGAAACTTTCAATGAAGAATCAGTTTTAGGCGAATCCCTCATCTCACAGATGAGGAAACTGAGGCTCGAGAGTCTCTGCTCTGCTCATGTAGCGTTAGTCAGAGCTTAGTGGAAAAAATGGGTTAACACCCCCAGTTTAGTGCTTTACTATATACAGCTTCACTTTTACATATATGTATATATTCATAGACTTTCTTTTTTCATATATTTTAGGTATTGTTTTGGTATTTTAAATACAGACATGTTGATTCATCCAAAGGAGTTAGATGTATCCATGAAATGAGGGAGCAATAGGTATAATAACAGTTCTTTGTGAACCCCATATTATTCCATGATGAGGCAGTGCTTGGAAGAAGTGGTGTCTGGAATGATTAGAGAAGGAAGAAGGAATGACAGCTGTTTACCTTAACAACCAAGATTGGGGATTACAAAGCCAAACTAAAGCAGTATAGAAGTTTAAGATCTATTTAGTACTGGCATACTGAAATGGGTTTTTTTTTCTTTTCATCCAGTAGAAGAATTTTTAAAAGTAAGTTCCTAAGTCTATAAATAATGTATTATAAATACATAATACACTTGGATTTGGTGGTAACCAGTCTGTTTGCTTTTATGTTTATATTTTGCCACAGTGAATTAAAAAAAAAAATCAAAACTCTCCAAATTGTTCAAATTTAAGCTTTGCTGCACCAGACTACCAACAGGAGCTAACGTGATTATACACATTGTTAGGATTACTGTAGTTTATTTAAGACTAAAGGTTTTCATGCTTCATGAACAAGAAAATGTTACAATGATCACATTTTAATGCTTTATTCATTGATTAAAAGAATATACATTTAACATAAACCATACAACATCAGTCATCAGGTCAAACATTCAGCTGGTTTCCTTACAGTTTCTGTCAGGAGTTATTTTATCTGATCACATTTATAAGATAAAATCTCACCACATCTGGCATTTACACACCCTGTGCCAGTGGATTCACACTACTGATGTACATAAAAAATCCGCATGGTATGTGCTCACTGGAGACAAAACAGTGCACACCTGTCAAAAGGTCATTTTAATATAAGATGGTAAAACCATTTGTAAAATACATATAAACTTTTTCCATAAATAGAATCATATCTGGACATCTGTTGCATAAATTGTGTTTCCAAAGCTTACAATAGAGCAGCCAGGTCTCAGCACTGCTGGGCACCCACGTTGGCTACTTACTTTATTATTGCAGACTGTCCTTTAACATTAAATGCACAACATTCGTACCACTTAAAACTGGGGTCAGGTGGAAGTCTCACAGAGACCACGTCTGTACCGCGGTTGCCCTGAAACAGTTAAGTCGGCTTTTAAAGCCTCTCAGATATAACAAGGTTTTAAAACATACTTCATGGAATGTTCTTCATTTATCATAGCAGCTCATACCTGTGATAGAACAAGCTTTCAGTTTTTCCTTTTCTTCCTTTACATTCACTATTCACAGTGAAACAGGTGCATGGTTTTTTTTTTTCTTTTTTTTTGTTTTGTGTTTTTTTTTTTCAGAGATCTGAGGTTGCTGACTGAGCCACAGCACAGCTGTGTACCACAGGTCGAAATTCGACCTTAAATATTACAATCTAGCAGTATCTGGCTGGCCAGAGTGGGCCAGCCCCTGCCAGCATGTGGGCACTTCTTCAGTTAAGTCTATTCTTTGGCAGCTGACACGCGCGCTGACAGAGAAAAATCCAGTGACTTGTTGCTAGGGATTTCACGACTAATGTTTGTTTGCAAGCATGTGTGTTTACAACTCTGTGATTTGATGATATTCTTTTAGGAGGTTTTACCCTGGAATATTATTTCTTTCTTCCTCCACTATTTGAATCTGGGCTAAAAAGCTAACTTGAATGTATAATGTAATTGATGAATTAAATTATGTCAGATATAGTTAGGAAAAATCCAATAATTTGAGTATTCATGTTTATGTAAATGCATTTTAAAAAGGATTAAGCAATGTTCTAACCTGCTACTATACAAAATTCAGAGTGGTAATTGATGATAATCGACTATTATATATGTAATGAAAGTTAAAAGTCTTGGCTTTTCTGTTAAAGATGACTCACTTGGGATCGTAGTATCCTCCCTTCTTCCATTTCAAATGAAAATCAATGAAATGCTATCGGAATGAATGAATGCAGTGCATTGCATACAAATCCATCAGGCTATGGATATATATCTATATATGTATAAAAATATTTTGGCTCCTGAGCTCTGACACACAAGAATAAAAACATCAAAAGGCAGAGTAACTCAGTGAAAAATAGTTAGCCAGCAACCTCAGACAACCTTCGGTTGTATATTCTTAAGGTCTGGTCTGGTAACAAGTCCATTAACCGTGAAAGCCCTATACATTGTCACTTTGAACTTCTAAACCAATACCCGACTATGTTCTTTGATCAAGAAGTAGAATATACACATATAATTCTATAAAGCTAATACTGATTAAACACAGCACAAAGGGGTTAATTCACACTACTGAAGAAAAAAAAAAAACAAACATAATAGGACCCTACTTGCAAATGTAACCACAGGAATCATACGTTAAAAAAAAAGCTAAATGTCTTCGCTGAAGCTCTGCATCTCTCTGTAAAAATGACGATTTGGTTCAGTGAAGACACTGAGTGATTCGATGTCCATGACTGCATGCCAAGGCTGACCGAGGCCCAGGGATACCTGCTCAATAAGATTATGCACTGGATCCACATCCTGGTCGGCCAGTTCGCCTTGGTCAAAATCAATGCTTTCTTCGGTGACTTCAAGTACTTTTAGATCAGAGCCACGAAGACGCGCAATGGCTATGAGGTTGTGTGCCCACACTGTGTAACCTTAAAAATAAGCAAAAGACAAGCACTGTCATTTCCTTGTGTTTTATTTTGTCTATTTTATACATCTGTCTTTTCCACAAATTTGTATCTCACCACTCTGGGGTCCTTTTCCTTTAAAAATATGCTGAGATTTGTGGATTCATTACCACTGCCAGGATAGCCCCTGTAATTGTTTAGCTCAGAGAGAAAAGAAATAAAGACTAGAAGTCTGATATTATCTCCAAGAACATCACTGCAGCTGGTGAACAGATAGTTGCTGTAACTATTCTGATATCAGCACGTTTAGTAAAATTGAAGACATTTATAATTTTATAGCTTTTGATTAACAATACATAGTAAGCTGTTATTTTTCATTAGTAAAAGTCATCTCCTATGGTGCTTCTCAGGTGGTACAGTGGCAAAGAATTTGGCGTGTCAATGCAGGAGAGGCAGGTTCGATCCCTGGGTTGGGAAGATCCCCTGGAGTAGGAGTAGGAAATGGGCAACACATTTCAGTATTCCTACCTGGAAAATTCCATGGACAGAGAAGCCTGACAGTGTGCAGTCCCTGGGGTCCCAAAGAGTTGAGATGTGACTGAGCACCCTGCGCGTGCGCGCGCACACACACAGAGGTACTTCACAGTCCAAAGTTATAAAGTGACACTTTAAAGATAAACTGTTAATTATCACTAGCAAATATAATGTTTTACTTCTTAATAAGAGAAAAAATCTTTAGCAAATTCTCTGGTGACCCAATGGTTAGGATTTAGCTCTTTCACTGCTGGGGCCTGGGTTTGATATCTGGTTGGGTAACTAAGATCCCAGAAGCCTCTCAGCAGAGTCAAAAAAATAAAAAGAAGTTTTAAAAAGACTGACTTAATTTTAAATATCTTGCTATTTCTTCATCCTATTAAAAAAATCCTAATTTATTAACTTCAATATTGATCTATTCTTTGCTATTACTTCCAATGACTGCCTAAATTATAAAGCAAAACTTGAAAAGTAAGATACACTCCCATAGTCAAATGAAGCTAAGATTAATTTCAGAAATAATGAAACATAATATATTTAAGTTGTTATGCAGACTTTCTATTTTATATTCTCTAAATGTCTTACAAGTTTCAGAAAAGAAGTAATATGTTCTTCTAAGAGGAACTCTGTCCAAATGAAAAATAGTTCACATTCAGATGAAAGGCCTGCCAGTAAGAAAAGAACACTTCCCAAACAACAACCATCATTTTAAAAAAATGTTGCACAAATTAACATGTTGATACCAAGAATCTAGAAGGTGAGGCAGTGAGCATGAAAGAAATCATACTTTCTTCTTCCTTCTGTGTTATGTTTTTAAGAGGAAGAAATATATCTATTGCAGGTGAATATGTATGTTTTCTTGGATAATTTCAGTGCCATTTTTGTGAAGTACTATTAATCACATGGCAAAAGAAAAACAGTAATACAGGAGTTGGAACAAAATAGGGTAGAAATGTGTCTTTCCACTTGTAAGTGGTCTATGTTATATATGTTTTTTTTTTTTTAAACATTTATTTTTATTTATTTGGCTACATAGAGTCTTAGTTGTGGCATGTGGGATCTAGTTCCCTAACCAGGGATCGAACCCAGCCCCCCTGTATCAGGAGCGCAGAGTCTTAGCCACTGGACCACCAGGGAATTCCCCTATGTTATATATGTTATACACATGCCGCTGCTGCTGCTGCTAAGTCACTCAGTCGTGTCTGACTCTGTGCGACCCCATAGATGGCAGCCCACCAGGCTCCTCCATCCCTGGGATTCTCCAGGCAAGAATACTGGAGTGGGTAGCCATTTCCTTCTCCAATGCATGCATGCATGCTAAGTCGCTTCAGTCAATGTTAAAAAGTATAAAAAATCTGCATATCAACTTGTTATAAGAGTTTTTGACAGTATACATGTCAGTGCTATCTTTTTATTGGTATAAAATGTTTTAGCTGTAATAACAAATTCAAACTATAACAAACAAAAGTCACCTACCATGAATTGCCAGAAGAGAGAGCTTTGTGCACCTCCATGCTAATAAAACCAACGGATCTTCATTTCGGTTGTCACTAAGATCTGGAAAACCAGACGTGTCAATCACATCATTCATTAATATAAAATGAGTGAGGAACTTGTCGTACTGCCTAGATATAAGATCAACAATAGCTCCTGAAACACAAGTGATATAGCTGTCAAAATGAATCCTTTCTAGTGGTATACTGGGTTTCAGAATCTTTAACATATCTTCACTCTTGATATCAAAAGCCATAATATAGACCCGAAGGCTGGTGCTCTTTCTTGACAAGGCTTTCCAATGCTCATCATTTGGCATGTTGTCCAGAGACTTGTGCATCACGGAAACATTGTGAACCAGGAGAGAAAGTCGCTGCAAAGGCACATGGTTGTTATCGGTTAAGACTCTAGTCATCTCAGCTGTAAAGTCACAGAAATCCAGGGCAAGTGAGCGCAGATTCACGAATCGCTCCAGTTCTGCTGCGGTGATAAGGGTGCTGTTACCAGAAATGTTGTTGTCCAGTAAACTCAGGTGCTCCATGGTGTTGGCAATAGAGTTTGAGAGAGATGACAGTGATGTTGGGGTTACTATTTCCAGCATAAACCCACAAGACAGCCATTTCAGTTGCCTACTATTACTCAGTATTTCTTCAAACAGTTGCTGAATTCTGTAAGGAAAACACATGCCACACAATCCTGTTAAGACTTAGCTCTAGGTGGCTCAGCTGGTAAAGAATCCACCTGCAATGCAGGAGACATGGGTTTGATCCCTGGGTCAAGAAGATCTCTGGAGAAAGGAATGGTAACACACTCCAGTATTCTTGCCTGGGAAATCCCATGGACAGAGCAACCTGGCAAGCTACATTCCATGCAGTTGCGAAGAGTTGGACATGACTGAGCAACTGAGCACATTCATTTAACCCACAAGTAATATTATCATTAAAATTCACATAAAATAATATATATTACACATACAGACATATGTGTACTTGAAATCCTTTGAGTGAAGGAGCATTTTATATCAGTAGAAAAGACTGATGATTTACAATTCATGTTATAGCAAAGTAGAGAAGTTAAGTTTTAAATAGCAATAATTACACAGCAAATTGTTTGTCTTAAAGATTGGAATGGTATGTATTGATCACTATTTTATTGTTAAGGCATTTCCGGAGTACATGTTCTTCTCAGAAAAAAATACCATTACTCTTTGGACAGTATCTTAACATTTTTCAGAAAAATATTTTTATTATTACAGAGTCCCTTTCCACTAACTATATAACTTACTGTTTAATTTTTTTGCCATCAGGGTCCACCTTGCTGAGGTATGTATTTGACAAACTTCCTTGCTGTTGTAGAACGCTTATGTCTCCAAAAAGGCTAAACTTCTGGAGGTTCCTATAAGAAAAGTAATTTAAAATGATTGTCTAAATAATTAACATAAAAGTATAAATATTAAAAGTAAACATATGCAGAAGGGATATTCTACAGACGTTTCTACCTTAGTAACTCATTTAGAATCCAACTAAGTACATACAGTGAAAAACTTGTGATAGCATAACAAGTGAAGCATACTTGTGAATCAAAAGTAGTTCAGAACTCAAGGATTTATTTATTTATTTTTTTCTATTTATTTTTATTAGTTAGAACTCAAGGTTTTAGTGACCATGGAAAAGTCTTCTTAAAGTTGCTGGAATTCAACTCTTTATCAGTAATAATAATACCTACCTTAAAGGTTTAGGGATGAATAAACAACAAAATGACATATGAAAGAACATTCAAGCTCTAAGTTTCATATATATATATATTTCATATACATTTTAACTATAATATAAAATTTTCCCAAACCAGTTAACTTAGTGCATTAAATGTTCTAAGGTGGGGCACTGCCCTAGAGATAATGTCTCAGTAAGAAATACTCTAACTAAAATCTAGAGAACCTTCTGTGGTTTTGTGATCAAACATAGAGCTTACCATTAAGAGGTTAATTTAAAAAAAAAACTATGTAAAAATTTGTAAATAACTTTAGCTACAAAACACACTTTTCTAAATAGTAAAATTCTAAATACAGTGGGAGAAAGGATAAAGATTAAATGCTAATAATAATGGTTAAACAACAAAAATTCAACTGAGTAAATTTAAAGATCAAATTAGCTTTATTAATTCAAATTAGCTTTATTAAAAGATTCATTAATTGGGCAGCATCCTATGTAGCAAAGAGAAAGGAGCTCTGCAGAGATATAGAAAAGGAAAGGCTTTTAAAGTAGAAAGGAAGTAGAAAAAGTAAATTATTAGTAAATAATGCACTGTTCCAGGCAAGAGTCACCCTCCTAAAGGGAATTGAAGGGACTATATGGCAGATTGCCTCACTAATGCTGACCTGGTAATTCCAGGCTAACTGATTAAAGGTTACAATCCTGAGGCTGATTAAAGCTACAGCTGTGCTAGGTATTAAGTCTTAGTTTGGTGACGTGGGGTTTAGCATAACTGACTCCATTTTGGGTCTGCTGTTTCGTTTTTAACATAACCACTAGAGAATTATGTCTGTAACTAGAAGTTTGGGATAACATTTTAATAAGAAATGTATAATCCACAAAAGTGATAAAAAGATTTAAGTAAATGAAAAATAACTCAATATTACATCGTATTTTCCCAAATTAGTAACCTTAGTTTCACTAAAAAGTCTGATGATTCTAAAACTTAGCTTGAAGAATGATCATTAATTGCCAAACAATCTTGAGAAAGAAGAACAGAGCTGGAACAAACAGGTTCCCTAACTTCAGACTATACTACAAAGTTGTAATAATCAAAACAGCATGGTACTGGCACAAAAATGGAAATATAGATCAATGAAATAGAACAGACAGTCCAGAGATAAACACAGGCACCTATGGTGACCTAACTGATGACAAAGGAGGCAAGAATATATAATGAAGAAATGGACAGTCTCTTCAATAAGTGATGCTGGGAAAAGATTAAAACGGATAGCTACATGTAAAAGAATGAAATTAGAATATTCTCTAACACCATATACAAAAATAAACTCAAAACAGATTAAAGACCTCAACATAAGACCAAATAATATAAAACTTAAGAGGAAAACACAGGCAGAACATTCTTGGACATAAATGGCAGCAATATTTTTTGGATTCAGTTCCTAGAGTAATGGAAATAAAAATAAATGGGACTTAATTAAACTTAAAATCTTTTGCACAGCAAAGGAAATCATAAACAAAATGAAAAGACAATCCCCAGAAGGGGAGAAAATATTTGCTAATGATGTAATCCACAAGGGTTCATTTTCCAAAACATGCAATTAGCTAATACAGCTCAACATTTTCCTAAGAAGACATATAGATGGCCAAGAGCACATGAAAAGATGCTCGACATTGCTAATTATTAGAAACACACAAATCAAAACTACAATGATGTTATCACCTCACACCTGTCAGAATAGCCATCATCAAAATATCTACAAATAATAAATGCTGGAGAAGCTGTGCAGAAAAGGGAACCCTTCTATACCTGTTGGTGGGGATGTATATTAGTGCAACTGCTATGGAGAACAGTATGGAGGTTAATTAAAAAACTAGAAAATAGAGTTACCATATGATCCAGCAATCCCACTCTTGGGCATAATGTGGAGAAAACCATACTTCCAAAATATACATGAACCCCACTGTTCATTGCAGTACCATTTATAATAGCCAAAACATGGAAGCAACCTAAATGTCTATCAACAGATGAATGGATAAAGAAGATATAGAATACATATACAATGGAATACTACTCAGCCATAAAAAAGAATGAAATAATACCATTTGCAGCAACACGGATGGATGTAGAGATTATCATACTAAATGAAGACAGAAAAACAAATATCATATGCTCTTACTATATGTGGAATCTAATTAAAAATGATACAAATGAACTTATTTACAAAACAGAAACAGAGAAAGATTTTGAAAACAAACTTATGGTTACCAAATGGGAAATGTCGGGAGTAAGGATAAATTATCAACTTGAGATTAATAAACACACATTATTATATATAAAATAACCAATAGGGACCTATTGTATAGCATAGGGAACTCTACTCAATATTCTGCAATAACCTATGTGGGTAAAATATCTGAAAAAAAAATAAATGTACAACTGAATCATTTTGTTGTACACCTATAATTAACATAATCAATTACACTTCACAATTTTTTAAAAAATAACATCCCACACCCACATTATATAAATAAATACACCCAGATCATACAAAAGTAAGGATTTATAGGCTCTTAACCTATAGAAACTGTTGGCAAATGTTTTGTTTATGTGCACTTTCTGGCGAAAGATCACTAGCTTTATCAGACAGTTCACTGTGCTGTACCTTCTATGAGCTTGGACAAATGCAAAATGATATGTATACAGTATGATACAGGAAAGCTTCACAACCCTAAAAATCCTCTGAGCTCCCCCTAGTCATCTGTCCATTCCCTCTAGCCCTTGGCAACTACTGATATTTTAACTGTCTCTGTAGTTTTGTCTTTTCCAGAATATTATATACTGAATAGTTGGAGTCATTCAGTATTAGCTTTTCCAGGTTGGTTTCTTTCACTTAGTTCTATGCATTTATGTTTCCTCCATGTCTTTCCATGGCTTAATGGTCTCCTTTTCTTTCCGAGTGCTGAATATTATTTCATTGTACTCTGAATATCATTCAGATTACATCATAAGTAATCTCCTACTTAAGGGCATCTTGGTTGTTTCCAACTGTTGGCAATTATAAACGAAGCTGTTGTGATGGGTTTTGTGTGGCCAAAAAGCTTTTAACTCTTTTAGGTAGGAGCATGATTTTTAGATGATATGGTAGAAGGAAATTTAGTGTTCTAAGAAACTGCCAAACTGTCTTTCAAAGAGCTATACCATCTTGCATTTCCACAAAGAATGAATGAGAGTTCCTGTTACTCCACATCCTCATCAGTATTTGATGTTGTCAGTATTCTGCACTTTGGTCATTCTAATAGGTGTGTAGTGGTGTCCTGTTGCTTTAATTTGACACATAACGTGGAACACCTTTTCACATGCTTATTTGCCATTTGCATATCTTCTTTGATGAGGTTTCTATTAAAGTCTTTGGCCTATTTTTTAATAGGGTTTTTGCTTTCTTATTATTGAGTTTTAAGAGCTCTTTATATATGTTGGACAAGAGCCCTTTCTTAGATGTCATTTATGAATATTTTTTCCTAGTCTGTGGCTTTCACTCCATCAACAGGGTCTTTCACAGATTGAAAATTATAATTTTAATGTAGTCCAGCTTAGTGCTTCTTTTCATGGACCATCCCTTTGATGTTGTACTGAAAAAGTCATGATCAAACCCTAGCCTACATAAATTTTCTCCCATTTTCTTGTAGATTTCCAGCTGTGTGTTTTACACTTAAGGTCTGTGATCCTAACTTGAGCTAATTATTGTGAAAGGAATAAAGTCTGTGTCTAGATTTTTTCCCCATGTGGATGTCCAGTTGTTCCAACATTTATTTGTTGAAAAGACTATCATTTCTCTATTATATTGCCTTTGCTCCTTTTGCATTTCCCTTATGATTAGTGACACTGAACATCTTTTCATGTGCCTGTTGGTTAACTGTATTTCTTCTTTGAAAAATGTCTGTTCAGGTCCTCTGCCCACTTTATAACTGGGTTGTTTGTTTTTCTGATGTTAAGTTTTATGAATTCTTTGTATAGTTTGGATATTATCCCCCATATGGGATATCTTACTTGTGACTACCTTCTCCTATTTAGCTGGCAGTCTTTTTGTTTTGTTGGTAGTTTCCTTGACTGTGCAAAAGCTTTTTAGTTTGGTGTGGTCCCATTTGTTTAATTTAGCTTTTGTTTTCCATTTCTGAGGAAACATATCTTAAAAAAAAATATTGCTAAGACTGATGTAAAAGAGCACATCACCCATGTTTTCTTCTAAAAGTTTTATGGTTTCAGGTCTTTACCAACTGAGCCACCGGGGCAGCCTGCTTTTAGGTCTTACAGTTAAATCTCTAAACCATTTTCAGCTTACTTTTGTATATGTTGTGAAAAAAATAGTCCTGTTTGATTCTTTTGCATGTAGCTGTCCAGTTTGCCCAATACTGAAGAGGCTGTCTTTATACAATATCTTCCCATTGTATATTCTTAGCTCCTTTGTTGTAGGTTGGTTGATCATCTTAAGTGTGGGCTCATTTCTGAGTTTTCTATTTTGTTCCACTGATCTATGTATCTGTTTTTGCAATAGTACCATACTGTTTTGATTACTGTAGCTTTGTAGTATAGTTTTAAATCAGAGTGTGTGATACTTGAAGCTTTGTTCTTTCTTAAGAAAGCCTTGGCTTTTCAGTGTCTTTTGTGTTTCCATGAAAATA